TCGACTGACGATAAATTGATCGTCGATGATTATCTATTAATCATTATCATTGAATGATAGTTCATGTTCTTCAAATATCCTATATAAGGAATGATTTTCTTGTCTAAAATCATTCAGTTCAATCGATCTATTGTATCAACAATAGATTGAATAAGTATTCTCATAAATTTTATTTTTTTTTCGGGAGGTGCAAGATACAATTATGTACATAATTATAATATTTATACATATATATATTCCAATCTTAAATAGGGTATGTTGTTTCTTTTTTCTTCGTATTGGGATAAAAAATTTATAAATAAGTTGAAAAGTTCTATTGGCCACTAGAACTTTTCAAGTTATTTTTTTCTTTTTTCTTTCATACTTATATTATTATGTAGAGAGGGAGATAGATACTATTTTATATCACAGCCTGTCAGATGGCTTCGTAATCTGACCCAGGGAGATTTCTTGTGCCTATGTTGGTGAAAGCAGTGGAGTACTCGGGAAGGCCGTCTGTTCGTAGGTCCCTGTCGCCGTTTACGTACGTCACACCTATGATCATGCCCCACCAGTCTGGCGTGGTCCGCTCTGCGTGTACCCATTGCGGGCTTACAGGAAGTCTTCCTGGTCGAGCGCGCGCGTACGCGAGAATCAATTGTAATGCAAATAAATTTATTCAGCAAATCGAAAAAAAAAACAAATTACATTTTCTTTCGAATTTTTTCAAATGTTTCTTTATATTCCAATATATAAGGATGATTTGAAGGTAATTTCTCTTGAGCAATTTCTATGGCTTCTTGAACATTTTTCATTGCCATATTATATTGTCGAGTAGATAAATATAATTTTGACAAATTGTGATATACTACAGCTAAATCAGGATGACTTTTTGGTAGTTTATTTTCACGTATTTCTAATCCTTTTTGATAATATGTCAATGCCGTTGTATAATCTTTCATTTGACGATATGTTTCACCTAAATTTATATATGTCGTTGCACATTCGAGAGGATCACATTGAACATTTTCTTGAATATTTAATGCTTTTCGATGAAATGAAATTGCCTTTTCATAATCACTCATTAATCGATGAACATCACCAATATTACTGTATGATATACCAAAATATGGATGATTTTCAGGTAGTGTTTTCTTATCTATTGCGAGCCACTTTTCAAAATACTCTAGTGCCTTTGAATAATCTTTCATACTGCGATAAACTCTTCCTAATCTACTGTAGGTAAAAGAAAAAGCTGGATTACCCTCTTCAAAAGCTTTTTGCTGAATTTGATAGGCATTTTGAAGGGCTTTAAGAGCTGTTGTGTAATCACCCATTTTTTCGTAACATGCTGCAAAATTCAAGTGACTAGTAGCGAATGAGGGATGATTCGAAGGCAGAGCTTTTTCTCTTATTTTAAGTGATTTTTTGTAAAATTCAAGTGCTTTCGAGTAGTCACCCATGTTATTATACACTTGACCGATGTTGCTGTATGAAGTAGCCGAATCAGGATGATTCGGAGGGAGAGTTTCCTCGTCGATTTTAAGTGTTTTTTCGTAAAATTCAAGTGCTTTCGAGTAGTCACCCATGTTATTATACACTTCACCGATGTTGCTGTATGAAGTAGCCAAATCAGGATGATCCGAAGGCAGTGCTTTTTCGAAGATTTTATGCGATTTTTCGTGAAATTCAAGTGCTTTCAAGTAGTCACCCATGTTATTATACACTTGACCGATGTTGTTGTATGAAGTAGCCAAATCTGGATGATTCGAAGGCAGAGCTTTTTTTGTGATTTCTAGATCTTTTTCGTAAAATTCAAGTGCTTTCGAGTAGTCACCCATGTTATTATAGACTAGACCGATGTTGTTGTACGAAGTAGCCAAATCATGATGATTCGAAGGCAGAGCTTTTTCTCTTATTTTAAGTGATTTTTCGTAAAATTCAAGTGCTTTCGAGTAGTCACCCATGTTATTATAGACTAGACCGATGTTGCTGTATGAAGTAGCCAAATCAGGATGATCCGAAGGCAGTGCTTTTTCGAAGATTTTATGTGATTTTTCGTAAAATTCAAGTGCTTTCGAGTAGTCACCCATGTTACTATACACTTGACCGATTCTACCGTAGGAAATAGCCAATGAGGGATGATTCGAAGGCAGAGCTTTTTCGTAGATTTTATGTGATTTTTCGTAAAATTCAAGTGCTTTCGAGTAGTCACCCATGTTATTATAGACTTGACCGATGTTGCTGTATGAAGTAGCCAAATCTGGATGATTCGAAGGCAGAGCTTTTTCTTTAATTTTATGTGATTTTTCGTAAAATTCAAGTGCTTTCGAGTAGTCACCCATGTTATTATACACTGCAGCGATGTTGTTGTACGTAGGAGCTAATGAAGGATCATCTTCCGGAAGAGTTTTTCGCTTGATTTTCAGAGATTGTTCGTAAAATGCAACTGCTTCTTCGTATTGTCCTTGGCTGTATTTCATCACTCCAAGCTGGTGATAGATGTGTGCTCTATCACTATCATTCGATGCCTGTTCCAATAGTGCCATATATAGTTCTTCGGCCTTGTCGAATTGACCTATTTTGAGTAACAATTTACCCATTCGATACCAACCGACATCGTCAACCTCTTCTCGAATATAGTCAGTTAATTCACGAAGTTGTGGATCATCATGTGACGTAAGTTTAAGGTCCACTTGATAAAGTGCACGATTGTTGTCAATTTTTCGCACTTCAGCAATGCGAAAGACGGTGTGCATGGAAAAGAGGATTTCGTCTTCATCCTTAAAGTAACTTTCCTCTCGAATGGAGGCGAAAGGAGTTGATGAAACTTTAGGATCGATGATTATTTGGAATAGAATTCCAACCATATCAGTCATTTTCAAGGCTCCCTTGGCGAAAACGAGAGAGACATCTGAATTTGTGCTGGTGGATAAGAAGTTGTTAAAAGAAATAAGCCCACCTTTGTTTTCTGCGAGCTTTTCAAAATCTGCTTTTGATAGGCCTTGCCCTCGAAAGATTGTAAAAATCTTGTTATGATATTGACTGACCTGTTGTTTGTATAAATGTTCAATTTGTCGATGTACATCACACAGAAAAAATCCCATTCGGATCATTATATCGCCATTAAGTGTTCTTAATGCACCATTCAACATCTTGTATGTAAAACACTGTCTTGTATACCACCAAAGGGCTTTTGTTGCGTGATAAGTGTTTTCAAAATCTGTAATATTCTTGATTTCTTGGGGATTGTCCTTGTATTCTTTTCGGCAAAACATAATCAAGTCTTCAAAGTCTTGATGGCAATGTGCTATGTCAAGGAGTATTTCCTTGAATATTTGTGAATACATAAAAGAAGGTTCTAGCTGATCTAGATTCTTGCTAGAACCTCCTGCATTCACACTAACAATGCTCACCGACATATGATCTTGATTGCATTGTTTGATTGCTATGGCCAATTTTCCACAAATATGTTTGATGGTTGTGTGGACGCCTTTGATTTTTGCCCAATTTTGGGCCCATACGTGATGTTGTTCTTTCTTACGACAAAATATGAATATAGCATTCAATTTTGTCATGTCGTGGATGCTTGGTATCATATGTTGTCCAAGTGCACCTGAGGAGATAACAAATGATATCTCTTCAGGATTTTCCTTCAGCTGTTGAATACATTCTTCAGCTGTTGTACACAGACTGACTTGGTTCACGACGCCACGCAGTTGGTCCATTGTATTTTGGTAATCTTTATTGGTCATATCCATATTTCCATCAACCCAAATAACCATGTAGTTTTCAGGCATGCGTCGTCTTGGTTGTTGACTCATTTTTGATGTAATGTTTTGCGTGCGACAGGTAGTTGTAGATTGTGAATAGTAAATGTTGTTTGGACACAGTTTACCTTTTGT